CTTCTTTGTTTCATTGTCCACCTCGATTCTCCTCATTAGAATAATCAACGACGTTGTCCAAGAAGTACGATTCAGCATCTACTAAGCATTTTGTGAACCAATTGATGCTTGAGAAGACATGCTTGAGAATGGATTTGAGTGACTATAAGTTAATGCCCATGAGTAAGTAAATCCATTCATATGTGAATTTTGCTTATCCAATTGAGATACCTTCAAAACAAACATTCAAAGACGTAAGATACAATTAAGAAAAAATAAGAATGCAAAATATCATAACCATAATGTTGGGGTTGTAATACCTTAGACCTATAGGAAGTTCCAGTTTTCCTCTTCGTTGGTTTCTCATGCCAAGGCTTCAGTTGACCCTAGCCCTTGTAACTACCATCTTTCCTCTTCAAACTAGCTACTTATAGAATGTTAGGGTCAACATTTTCTACTCCTTTAGAAAGAGAGAGAGATATTCTACTTCTTCATCACCATCATTGTCCTCCTCACTACCAAGTGATGTATACATCAAATCCACTTGTTTGAACAACTCATCAATACCGCGGTTCACCAACTGGTGTGCAAACTTAAGGTTAGAACAACAAGCTACTAAATGTACCATTCTAGGGCATAGTTGTCGGTAACGNTTCTTCATCACCATCATTGTCCTCCTCACTACCAAGTGATGTATACATCAAATCCACTTGTTTGAACAACTCATCAATACCGCGGTTCACCAACTGGTGTGCAGACTTAAGGTTAGAACAACAAGCTACTAAATGTACCATTCTAGGGCATAACATGATGTTGCCATCAACTTGGGATCCTCCTTATTTAGTGTGGCACTAGAATAAGGACTTGACCACTTTCTTGCATCTTGCCTCCATCACTGTATTATGTATTGGTCAAATATTTGTTTAATGTTCATCGTTTCTAGCACTTTAACAGCATGACCACATAATATCTCAATCATTTCAAATTTTTGACAGNCTTATTTAGTGTGGCACTAGAATAAGGACTTGACCACTTTCTTGCATCTTGCCTCCATCACTGTATTATGTATTGGTCAAAAATTTGTTTAATGTTCATCGTTTCTAGCACTTTAACAGCATGACCACATAATATCCCAATCATTTCAAATTTTTGACAANATTGGTCAAAAATTTGTTTAATGTTCATCGTTTCTAGCACTTTAACAGCATGACCACATAATATCTCAATCATTTCAAATTTTTGACAACTACAAAAAATGGTTTGCTCATTGACATTGATCAACACCACGTACTTTCTCTCTTCATCATACAATTCTACCACAAATTGATGACTTCTATCGATTTTTGAAATAAATCAAAAACAGGAGGAGTGTAACACTGCGCCACTTGCGCCAACATAGAAGCTTTTCAACTTCATTCTAGGCAGCTTTTGTCAAGCTAAATATTCCTTCCTCTGTCTACTTATATCTCTTATCATTTAAAATCCTATCAAAATGAGCAAAAAAGTAAACAATATCATGGTCTGGCTTTAAGTACTTTCGTAATGTTGAGCTCAAGCTCTCACTAAGTTGAGTGCTCCTTATACCAACTATGAAAGTTTGCTTCATAGACACATGTGCCCTTTTCTCTCTTAGTGCCCAAGTTGAATTCATCCAACTGTTATAATGCAAATCATACTCATCAAACAATAATTTTCAAGCATCAGCTAACTCACGTTCTTCCTCATATCTATACATGCACAATTTAAATTGGGTTGAAAATTTTGAACCATCCTTATAGATGTTCCCTAAATGCTTTAAAGTATTTTGGAAAATATGCCAACAGCATAACTCATGATATTTCTCTGACATCACTATTGATATAGCTTTAGCCATTGCATGACATTGGTAAGTGAAAATAGTAATAGGCTTCTTCCCAGACATTACTTGTAGGAATGTCTCAAACAACCACTGAAATAATGTTGCAATTTCATCGTTCAATAATGTAGCACCAAATATCACCATCTCTCTGAATTGGTTGAATCCAATCAAAATGTCTAAGGGTCGATACTCCTTGTTTGTTGGAAATGTTGTGTCAAATGTGACAACATCCTCAAAGTGACCATAATCAATAATCATTCCTAGACCAACCCAAAAAATATTTGTTATGCACTCTTTGACATCCAGTTGGACTCCATAATAAAATGATGGATTCTTAGCTACTTTTGCTTGGAAATATTGCAACAAACTATTCACTTCACCGTATTTCAAGTCTCGTTGCCTCCTTTCTTGAATGTAATTAATTTGGTCTTGATAAGTGAACCCTAAGCTTTCTCTCCCACCTGCTTAGGTACTCAAAAGCTTGTAGGACGCATTAAGTGATATCCCACAATCTTCAGCAATATCAACTTCGATGTCTTAAGCTACAGTAAGTATAATTACCTATAAAAAAATTATTTTATTTTAGTGCATTAGCTATCTAGGAGTAATTATATATAAATAAGGATAAAAATAATTAAAAGAAGACTAGTGTGTCTCTAATAAAATTCTTGCNCTATTTAGGAGTAATTATATATAAATAAGGATAAAAATAATTAAAAGAAGACTAGTGTGTCTCTAATAAAAGTCTTGTCTTAGAGAAACATATTAGAACTCTTATACATATGGTTTAAATAGAATAATATTGTTGGATAGGTTAAACCCTTCGTATATATATAAATATATTTATGTTTGTAGGGTCTTTTGGTAAGAAGACTTGTGGAGGAGTCTGTCCCGTGAACAAAGAAAAAAAAATATAACGAGAAAGAGAGAGAGAGAAAGAAAGAAGGACGAAAAACAAAGTATATATCAATGGGTAGGAAGTACAAAAATTAAATATAAAATCGCGAAATGACGAAATTAGGAATAGAGATTGATCGTTATATGTTATTTTGGATTAGGTGGTGATTGCATTAACGTTGAAAAAGAGAGTTTTGAATTGGATTTTGGAAATCAAGTTGAGTAGTTACAACTTTTTTGGAAGATTTTTTATATTAAATGTGTAGGTAGGTGCGTGCGTATGAATTTTTCATATATATGATATATTTTGATATTTGATGTTGCAATTAAATGTTTTGTAATTGTGAACTGTTATACAAGTGAATTTTGGAAAACTTGTGCAATGATTTTATGTCATTGCTTTGGTGATGAAAGAAAAATTTTGTGTGTGTTGGGACTAAAACTACAGTTTTAGTGTATATGAAAATCATGTTTATGAGACAGGGACTATGTTACCAGATCTAAATAGTAACAAGATTGTATGTCAGTGTCATCGGTATAGGAATATACACATAGGGACTAGTCATCAGGTTAGTGATGACAAGAGATGGAGCCAGTTACCAAGTTAGTGGTGACAAGAGACGGGGTCAGCCACTAGGCTAGTGATAACAAATATGATTTAACAAATATATTTGAAACTGAATGTATGTGTCAGTGTTTTGGGTTAAAAATGTCTTTTCATTTATAAAATTATTTGTGAAAATGAGTGGTGTTTGAGGTTATAAATGTCTTTTCATTTATAAAGTTATTTGTGAAAATGAGTGGTGTTTAAGGTTATAAATGTCTTTTCATTTATAAAGTTAATGTGATCATGAGATCATTTTGTTTAAATGATTATATGAGAGGGATTGGGGTATAATTTGCTGTACTTATGTATATATCAAAGTTTATTTTTATATATAAACTATAAAATTTATTTTCACATCTCATTAGAGGTGGTTGCTATTCATGGGTCATTGTGCTCATTCAAACATGTAACATTTTTCAGGAGAGGATCAGTGTGAGAAGTAAGTCTGCAAATATATAAGAAATTAGAGGACTTTAAGATTTATTTTAATGTAGGTCTTTAGGAATAAATGTCTTTTGTTATTTTGAAGCAAATGTTTAATTGCTTTGGGAACAATATTGCTCATGTTTAGAGTAGTGAACCTTGCGGTTTAATTATTGTTTTATATGGATTTAGTAATGATGTTGGTGGTGTCTAGTTTATTCCTCTGGTATTTATTAGGTCGATGAATTGGATCACTTTATTATTTGTCTTCCGCTGTATTTTGCATTTATTATACATATGATTAGTTGGTTAAGGCCTTGGTAACTGGTCCGCCGCCCACCCTATGTTATCTGGGGTGGGGGGTGTGACAGTAATATTCCGTTGGGATGATATCACATGCATACATTCGGCCAAGTGCAAAATGTGACTATGTTGGTCTTCCCATTTAACAACAAATTTTTTAATATCTCTCTTGAGAGATATGTACATGTGAGCAGAGCAATTTGTTCAAGTCTCTGTCCGAGTCTTTGTTGTTTTTCAATCCATTTGATCTTTACTTCTTTGTCCCTGTTTACAATAAATGTATTTTCTGTAAATTAATACATCATCCTTCAAACTCTTGTTGTAATAAGTTTTTCACACACTGAATCTCATAGTTTTACCATAATTGTTATAGAATCTATAAGCATCTTCTTCTGAGTCCAATTACATTCTCATACATGAAGTATTGTCTACATTATCAATCTCAACACATTCCATCTCCACTATAGATTAGGTCCCCTACGATAACCAAACAGTTACACAAAGTAAACATAATATCAAAAACAGCCCATATAAATTTTTAATTACAAATGGAATAAGGAAATACTTATTTTTTTTGTTCTCTATCAACAAGAAAATCTTATGTATCAAAGTCTATATTACTCAATTTCACCAAAGTCTAAACATTGATACCCATAGATCAAACAATCAAATATACTCACAAAAACGTAGTAAAAAAAATGATAGTAGTCTCGTAATTATCTCAAGATTCTATAAGAAATTTTTAAAAGAAAAATTCTAAATTTTATGAACTGGAATTTCATAAAAAATTTCTAAAAAAAATATCAGCATTACCTGAGAGTGTGAAATTGTAAAAGATGAGGTCGAAGTGTCAATCAACCTCTACAAAGAAACAAAAAAAAAAAAAGAGAAGAGCAATGAAAACTTTGACATTTTAATTGGTGATTAATCACCGATTACAAGTTCTCTGCAGAGGGTTTTTTGTATGTTTTTAGGTGGAGCTGATTTCGCTTAGAAGGAAAGGAGGGCTTTGTTTTTGCATTTTGTTCTGCAAAGGTGAAAGACGGTGGAAGACGACATCGTAACGGGCTGAAATGGACACAAATTGGATGCCGTCAGTTTGTATCTTTGCTGGCTTCTGGAGTCTTGGCCAAAACGACGCCGTTGCTCTTAACAGCACAGCTAGCCGTTAGTCTTCAACTGCAGAGGAGCTCCACCCCATTTGCCCTAAAACAAAACATTGACCTCCTCCTTTTCTTCTTCTCTTGCACCGCCTTCTCCCTCCAACCGCACCGGAGACACTCTCTCTCCTGCCAAAGCTCATCTCAATCGTATCTGTACAAATATCATTGCCCTAAACCAAAGCAGAAAGGTATTCGATTGAATTGTGCTTGGGAGACTTGAAAATTACGGGATTGAAGCTAGGGTTTGGGTTTATTTGTTCTCGGTATACCGAAATTTATACTTGATTATATAGGCACTGCACTACTCTTGTTAAACATGTGGAATCTATAACCACTGAAGACAACGAGGTGATGGATCTTGATCAATTTTATGCATAGGGAGGATTGGGGGACTCATCAGTTATAGTGACCAATGATTATTCCATTGATGAATGGAAAGGTGGGACTTCCATTGATGAATCTTGTTAGATTTAAGGGAATACCCATATTACAACAACTACATTTGGAGGAACAGCTGCTTCGGACCTCTTCGGAAAATTGGTGCATCATAAATGACGGAACCAATGCTCCAACAATTGTCATGGGGCTGTCTGGGTAAGTGAGTTATCATTGATTTCAATAATGTTTTTAGGGTTTTGATTACATAAATTTCTTTTGCAGTGTTCTTCTATTTCAGTAGAGTGATCTTTCATCTTAATGGTGACATGTTGCGGCTCGAATGATTGCAACAACTTTGACCAAGGTGGAATAAATAAACAAAAGGATGGATTTGTTGCCAACTAGTGCTAGGTGTGAGTAAATAATAAATTCTCTATGAGATTGAAAAGTTTATGATTTAAGCCAAATTATGTGTTATAATCTTCTATCATAGAGGTAGTTTAATGTTTTCTTTGTCCTCTGAGATTAGAGTTTGTAATTGTTGTCAATTTTAATAAAACTTACTGTTTTATCATCATAAGATTGTACAAGAAATGGCATAAGTTGGTTAGTTGCTTTTTATTAGGACCAGTTTTCCGAAAAGTGAAAAAATTGGCTGATGAAGTTTTCAATTGTTCTCTTATGTAGATCATTTTCTAGCAGCTTACCGTTTCAAATTAATGTCACTGGCTGAAGCATTAGTCGTTTCTCACCAATTCACAATTTTTCTTCTTCTAGTTGGTTGCGTATTTTTTAACTTTGAAATATGTATATGGAAGAATTAATGAGTTGTGTTTTCTCTATGCAGAAAACCTTCAGAACTTCTTGAAGTTGGGTCCGTGTTACGTGATCAGGTTCCTGTCATCAAAAGATTCACTGGGGGAGGCACTGTTATTGTTGATTGTGGAACAGTCTTGGTCGCTCTTATCTGCAACAGGGATGCTGTTCCTGGTGTGCAACCATATCCTCGTTCTATCATGGGTTGGAGCGGCTTGCTATACAAAGAAGTTTTCCGAGGAACTGGTGATTTCCAACTCCGCGAGAATGGTAAGAATGTTAACCTCTGGTGGAAGTGCTCTCTCTGCTCAATTAGTCTAGACCATGTCGATTATTGTGCCAAACCTGCATTTAATCAAGTGGCACATACCGCTTATAGTATGGCCTGAGTTTATGCTTGACTATGGGGCATGATTGTCACTGGTGAGAAGTGCACCCAAGCACATGTACACATTTCTTGGAAGAGTGCATACACATGTACTTGTATTTTTGTTGAATGATGATTGAACGTTGTGAAGTTTATATGTTTAACACCCCTTGCCTTCGTCAATGTCAGCTCTCATTTATTCCTTGCCATAGTTATTTTTTTTTCCTTTTTAGTATAACTAAAGGAAAGAAGAACAATTTAAAAGTTCAATGTTTTGTATTTCTCTTAACTTATTGCTTCTATATAAACGGTGTTGGTGAAATCTGGATGGATCAAATATTATACTGGAGCCCTTGGAAGAGTTGTCTCTGGTGATACATGAGCATTTCTAGAAAGAGCTGAAAGACATGAAAGTAGTAATATGGTCAAGGATGAGTAATCGAGATGTCTAGTTGAGTTGAGTTAGTACTCAGGAGTCAGGACCAAAAACATTTATTTGGTGGGAATGAAATGATCAAACAGGGTTTGTGGTTTCCGCCACTGAGTATGAAGTATGGGAGCATCTGATGGAAATGTGCTGATGTCTAGTTCTGATTTATTTGTGTTTGTTTTGTGCTGGATGGTTGTAGTTGCTGCTCTGTCTTGGATGGTTTCCTGAAGTTGTCTTTCATTGGTTTGCAGTCATATTTTCATTTTCTGTTTGCTACAGCTCTGATTTATGGTTCAATTTGTTTTGCATTGTCTCATGAATTTTTGGCTAAAATTGATAGAGTAATTGCTCATTGTGTATGCTTGGTTCTAGATTATGTGTTTGGTAATCTCAAGTTTGGTGGGAATGCTCAGTCAATTATAAAAAACCGATGGATACACCACACATCTTTTTTATGGGATTATGAAGCAAGGAATATGGCATACCTGAAGCTCCCCACACGTGCTCCAGAATACCGAGCGGTATTGCAGATTTCTATTTGTTTTTATGCTGATATTTATTTTTTATTTCTAAACGAAAACCTGTTGTATTTTTATACGGAAATCTTTAAAAGATTAAGTCATGGTCAGCATGGTTTTCTGTCTTTGTTAGCTACCCTGGCAATGACATCTAATTTTGATTTGTCATTGCATAAAAATTGAAGATATAATGATTCTAGTTTCATTGATGCCCCATTGTAATATGTGGAGATTGCTGGCAATCTTAACATGCAGTATAATTAGTTGATTGTGATCTAGGCATCGTAAGTTCGAGTCACTGAAAGTCTCGCTGCACGTTAGGCAAGGTTGCGTATATCTAACACTGTCCATACACTATAGTGTCGGGAGCCTGCGTACTGTGTTGCCCTTTTATGTATAATCACGACAACCCATATATGGAGGACCATAGCTTGGGAGCTAAAGGAACTTGGTGCTCATAAGTATTCTTGAACTTTAGTAAGACAGTTGGAGCTATTTTGAAGCCTGTTAGACCTGTTTAATTTGGCTAAATAAGTACACAACTAAGCTCGCATTCAAAGACCTGCAGCCACTGTACAACTGAAAATTAATATGTTGCCAAATTATATTTAGCATAAAAACAGTGAGAAAGACAAGTAGAACTCAAAAGAGAATTAATTTTGTAGGTAAGCTCTGATTGTGATATTCTGAACAACAATATTTGCCATTGAATTAGGTTTCTTTCATACATTTTCTGCATGTTATTTGCATCATCATCATCACTCTCTCTCTCTCTCTCTCTCTGTGACAAGCTGAACTAGTGGTACCTCTCTTTACAGAAATGATCTTACTGTTTAAATTTACTCACACATCCATGAGCAATTTGACAAAGGCTCATCCTTCCAATTACCTAATGTTTTTGGTACCCACCACCATCAGTTGGAAACTCTGTTTTCATCCTCAGTCTACCAGCCTTTTGAATCCCTGACCTGGGTGTGTAGATTATAAACCAAAGCCACCAAGGCAAAGGCGGACCAGTAAAATTTGTTCCTATGCACATCATCTTTGATTTCACCATGAAAATTTAAAGCTGTTGGAAGGCAAGTAGTACAATGTACATGTTGATGAAGAGTGAGATCTTTAGTTTTGAAAAAAAAAAAAAATTTAGTTCATTTGCTGTCTGGAAATAGAATTAAGGATGAAAATCTCACATGGAGCAAAATCCAAAATTGGAGCTTCATATATTTGAAGAAGAGAGAGGTTTTCTTGTAGGAATAGTTGTGGATTCCAGAAAATGATTAGTATAGCGAAATGAAGCGTCAAGGGGAGCTGAAAAGAAGTGTTCAGCTGTGTACAGGGTTTTTGGTAGGTTGATTTGATGTCCAACTAATCTGCAATTTACAGTCTCGTGCACACTCTTTCCAGTAACTGATTCCTTGATAGTTAAAGCACACATCATTGTAATGATGGGGAAAATCAACTGCTTGCATAACTGTGGAAATTTGGTAAACATCTGATCATTACGGTGATTGTCTTTGCAGTGAAATGGAAATTGTAAATCTTTGCTTGTTTCATAATGTTATTAGAAATGGCTGGCCAAAATGCGATGTTTCTGTAGCTTCATCAACTTATGTATTTGTTCTGATAAAAAAAATCAACTTATATTGTGTACAATATGCAGGCAAGAAGCCACATGGAATTTATCTGTCAAATGAAGGACTACATTCCGAGATCAGATTTTATTAATAAGACAGTCAAGGCAGTCGAAAACCAGTTCTCTGTTGCACCTTTAGAGTTGGACATAGATTCTGTAATTCATAACACAGAATACGTTCACACTACCAGGCTTCTCACAAAACACGAACTTGAGGAAAGTTGGGCAAGCACTGCTCCCCTTGAGAAGTCTATGTCACTACAGTTATGATGCCCATTTTTATTTTTTTTGTTCAGATTTGCGATTGGTCACCGTACCAAGCTTCTAACAGTTTTAAAGCACATTTGGCTTTCATTGGTTGGTATGTAAGCTTTATTGTTGAGCTTGTCTTATATGGTCTTATACCATCTTGTTTGACATCAGGGTCCAGTGAAGTATACGTTCCAGCAACTCAATAGGAAAGGCATACTGATAAACTTGAAGCCCTTGATTCCTCCCCCCTTTACCAAGGTAAACCTTATTACCATATCTTTGAGTGATTTTGCAGATAATTTATGGCTATAATTAAGGATTATTTCCATAGTGCGCTGTTGAGATATAGGATTGAAAATGTGAAACTTGGCCATCTTAATTCAAAGGTTAAAACAAAGGCAATCTTGGCTCTCCATGCTATACGGAGAGCCAACTCCTCATTCCTCGCAGTTTCGTGGAATTTCACCTCAACTTTTGCAAGAAATTGGTTGGTTTGCACCCATGCATATATAGGGAGATATAAATGGTTTGTAATGTGATCATTTATGCCTGTTAGATAGCTAGGTCTCGATATGAAATTTGAAATAGAAACCAGCCTAGTAAAGATGATAAATTGTATTTCCTCTCTAGCCCTTTGGGCAACAGAGAAAAATTAGAAGGGAAACATAGCCACAGGTTATATCTAAAAGGATCATCCCCATTGTACCTAACCTAGCTTTATTTTCCTCCAGGGTTTATTTTTACGATCTTACATCAATTCAATGGTGATTTAGACGTATGTATATAAATCAAGGACACATGTTCCTTGCAAGTTGGTTTTCAAGGGTAAGTTCAATCCATGAGTTCATCATTTATCATGGTTTGAGTATTGATGTGGATTTATTTATATTTGTGGTGGTCCTATTTGAATTGACCATCTCTCTAATAGATGCTTCCTTACTTTCTTCTACAAGGGATTACCCTTATGTTTTAGTGGAGACCCATTTACATAAATGGGTTCCACCCGGTTAGAAAACAAATATTCATCTTGTGTTGACAAGATTACAGATCTAAATTCTCTCCAAAGTTTTTTATCTATTTCACTTTTTCAATGCATTATTCATCATTAACGAGTGAGAAGCTCATAGACAATGAATTTCACTTGTAGGTGATCTGTAAAAAAGAGATTCGAAGAGAAAATGTATCAAAAAATGTGCCACTCTCGTACACGACAAACAAAGAGGGGCCTCAACTCACATGCACTCTGCCCGCTATCTCTGCGTGTGGGATACCGTGTTCGTAATGCTGTCCGGAACATAATCGGGAAGGGAGTGATAGTGTCATCCGAACGTTACCTCTTCTTTTACTCTGATTCTTTCTGATCCCTTTTCAAGTTAGAGAAGAACCTGCCGACAGAGTCAACAAAAAAAAAAACACATCTTACACAGAAGCCAATGACAGCTCATTTTACCGTTGACCATTCATTATCAAGCCACTTTTACGACCGTGAAATTTTTTCCAAATACTAATTTCTTATTTTGTGACCTTATTTAGTTTCACAAGTCTAACACTAATCCACAAATTTCACTAAAACAAGTTTACACACACACACACACACACACACATACATATATATATATATATACTAGTTGGTGCACACGTGGACCATTTCAAGTTATTATTTTTAACAAAGTATTATTTGACCAAATTATTCTTAAAAGACCTTACATTCATACATAAATAATAAGCTAATAAGTTAGATTCCAATTTAAAGACACATGATCTTTAGGTTACCAAACTTTTCATACCATAATCAGAGGCGGCCCAAGGTAAAGCGAGGCCCTAAGCAAAATTTTCCTATTAATATTTTGTCTATTAGTATATTTTTATTTTTAATTATTATAAATTTTTATGTTTTAAAAAATTATTTTTTATTTTTTAAAAAATTTAAAATATTGATCAAGTTTTGACAATAATTCTTTTTAATAGATAATATTGTTAATTTATTTACTCTTAGTTAATTGTAAGTAAACTTTTATCAATTTAAGTTTTCAACAAGTAATTTAATAATAAAATACGTGAGCAAAGAATAATTTTAAGATAACAAAGAATCATTCTTTACCCATAAATAATGTGCACGCATGAAGTATAAAACTTTAATAATATAGACAAATTAAGTATAAATTATTTGGATTGAAAATTTATATTAAGACAAAAAAAGAATTAGTTTTATAGATTTTCATCACAAGAAATAATGAATATAAATTTTCTATATGAGTGAGTGAAATATAACTATGAACACACCCAAAATATTTAGAAAATTTTAAATCAAAACTTACACAAAGGAGTAATTTTGGACCAAAAAAAATTAGATATTGATTTAAACTATTAAAATTTGAGCCCTAAAAATTTGAATCATATCTAAAATACAAAAAATAAAAATAAAAAAGACTATTATACTAAAGTGGTAAATTTTATGGAGGCCTCTAAAATTTGGGCTTAATCAAGTAGAGAGTAATTTTGGATCTAATAAAATTAGGGGTTCTTTGGAAACCGGTACACCTAATTAGACTTATTTGGCAAAAAATACATATAACAAAATATTTTGAAAAAAAATACACAGCTGAGATATAAAAACGTAAATGCCTATTTTAGGGTCATTTAATTCAAAATCTCTACATTTAATGTACCTTGATTCATGTTTATTTGTTAATACATATAAATACGTATTTAATGCACTTTGATTCATGTGTATTTGTTAATACATATATATATATTTGAATTATCTTTAATACACCTTTATTCATGCGTATTTTTTTTTTTTAGAAAGTGATTTTGTTTTCAAATTATATTTAATATACATTGATTCATGAGTATATTTTTTGGAAACTAATTTTATTTTCAAATTAATTTAATATCCGAACAGTGTAATAGTGTAACAATAACAATGTAACAGTGTAACAATAACAGTGTAATAAATACACTGTAACAAAAATAGTGTAACAATACACTGTAACAAAAATAATGTTCAGTAGTTTTGTGCATGTGGTAATAAATTCAAAATGGAAATAAAATTATTTTGAATGAAATTATACGAAACTATATGTTTGACAAAATATAATAGTATAATATTTTGTGTATATAACTTGTTACACTGTTATTATTACACTGTTATTGTTACGTTGTTACACTTTTATTGTTACATTGTTACACTGTTATTGTTACACTATTACACTATTCGGATATTAAATTAATTTAAAAATAAAACCACTTTAAAAAAAATGCATGAATCAAGGTGCATTAAATATAATTTGAAAACACAATCACTTTCCAAAAAAAAATACGAATATATCAAGGTGCATTAAAAATAATTCAAAATTTAGATAAGAAATTTAACAACAAGTATATATATATGTATTAAAGTTCTCTCATGCAATTAGGAGATGTTTAATGCACCACTTTCCAAAGAAAAGTGGTGCATTAAATACACATATATTAATGGAGGGCAAAAAATGTCACAAAAAAATCAGTAAAATTTAAAAAATGTACTTAGATACAAATAAGTATCAAAATTAAGGACTTAATTACCCAACATTTTTTTCTGTGTACTTTTTTACAATTAAGTCTAATTTGGTATACCTACTTCTAATTTTTCCTAAAATTAGATACTGATCTGAACTAATAAAATTTGGACCCTAAAATTTTAATCATATCTAAAATAAAAAATTAGGTCTACTATACTAAAGGAATAAATATTGTGGGGGCCTCTAAAATTTGGGGTCCTAAGTAAGCAACTTAGTTGTCTAAAGGTTGATCTGGCCTTACCATAATATTGTTATCTAACAAAAAATATCAAGCATGATATGAAAATCAAACACCACATGGAATGGCANAAGCGAGGCCCTAAGCAAAATTTTCCTATTAATATTTTGTCTATTAGTATATTTTTATTTTTAATTATTATAAATTTTTATGTTTTAAAAAATTATTTTTTATTTTTTAAAAAATTTAAAATATTGATCAAGTTTTGACAATAATTCTTTTTAATAGATAATATTGTTAATTTATTTACTCTTAGTTAATTGTAAGTAAAATTTTATCAATTTAAGTTTTCAACAAGTAATTTAATAATAAAATACGTGAGCAAAGAATAATTTTAAGATAACAAAGAATCATTCTTTACCCATAAATAATGTGCACGCATGAAGTATAAAACTTTAATAATATAGACAAATTAAGTATAAATTATTTGGATTGAAAATTTATATTAAGACAAAAAAAAGAATTAGTTTTATAGATTTTCATCACAAGAAATAATGAATATAAATTTTCTATATGAGTGAGTGAAATATAACTATGAACACACCCAAAATATTTAGAAAATTTTAAATCAAAACTTACACAAAGGAGTAATTTTGGACCAAAAAAAATTAGATATTGATTTAAACTATTAAAATTTGAGCCCTAAAAATTTGAATCATATCTAAAATACAAAAAATAAAAATAAAAAAGACTATTATACTAAAGTGGTAAATTTTATGGAGGCCTCTAAAATTTGGGCTTAATCAAGTAGAGAGTAATTTTGGATCTAATAAAATTAGGGGTTCTTTGGAAACCGGTACACCTAATTAGACTTATTTGGCAAAAAATACATATAACAAAATATTTTGAAAAAAAATACACAGCTGAGATATAAAAACGTAAATGCCTATTTTAGGGTCATTTAATTCAAAATCTCTACATTTAATGTACCTTGATTCATGTTTATTTGTTAATACATATAAATACGTATTTAATGCACTTTGATTCATGTGTATTTGTTAATACATATATATATATTTGAATTATCTTTAATACACCTTTATTCATGCGTATTTTTTTTTTTTAGAAAGTGATTTTGTTTTCAAATTATATTTAATATACATTGATTCATGAGTATATTTTTTGGAAACTAATTTTATTTTCAAATTAATTTAATATCCGAACAGTGTAATAGTGTAACAATAACAATGTAACAGTGTAACAATAACAGTGTAATAAATACACTGTAACAAAAATAGTGTAACAATACACTGTAACAAAAATAATGTTCAGTAGTTTTGTGCATGTGGTAATAAATTCAAAATGGAAATAAAATTATTTTGAATGAAATTATACGAAACTATATGTTTGACAAAATATAATAGTATAATATTTTGTGTATATAACTTGTTACACTGTTATTATTACACTGTTATTGTTACGTTGTTACACTTTTATTGTTACATTGTTACACTGTTATTGTTACACTATTACACTATTCGGATATTAAATTAATTTAAAAATAAAACCACTTTAAAAAAAATGCATGAATCAAGGTGCATTAAATATAATTTGAAAACACAATCACTTTCCAAAAAAAAATACGAATATATCAAGGTGCATTAAAAATAATTCAAAATTTAGATAAGAGATTTAACAACAAGTATATATATATGTATTAAAGTTCTCTCATGCAATTAGGAGATGTTTAATGCACCACTTTCCAAAGAAAAGTGGTGCATTAAATACACATATATTAATGGAGGGCAAAAATGTCACAAAAAAATCAGTAAAATTTAAATAATGTACTTAGATACAAATAAGTATCAAAATTAAGGACTTAATTACCCAACATTTTTTTCTGTGTACTTTTTTACAATTAAGTCTAATTTGGTATACCTACTTCTAATTTTTCCTAAAATTAGATACTGATCTGAACTAATAAAATTTGGACCCTAAAATTTTAATCATATCTAAAATAAAAAATTAGGTCTACTATACTAAAGGAATAAATATTGTGGGGGCCTCTAAAATTTGGGGTCCTAAGTAAGCAACTTAGTTGTCTAAGGGTTGATCTGGCCTTACCATAATATTGTTATCTAACAAAAAATATCAAGCATGATATGAAAATCAAACACCACATGGAATGGCAGCCTAGCCTTCTCAAGAGAGAGATAGAAATAACAAATTGATGTAACCATAAAATATTGTCTTTCTAAAGGTTGTTGTTAAAAACGGTCAACTATCCAGTACTATTTAATAATTCATTAAATAATCAATCTCAAACTCTCCAGCCAAATTCATTCCGAACTTCTCAAATGAAGTTCCCACCAATTTACATCATATATGAATTAAGTTCAATGGTGTATACAAGATTTTCGAAAGTCAGAAGAAAGAATGACCTCAAAAGACTGAAGAATATTAGTGTTTGGTTGTAACAAACCTATAGACTTTAAAAGTATGTCCATGACCATTTAAATTCAAAAAATGTTCATTTTATCATTAGTCCCAACCACCGTACCTTCCATCTCAGAGAACGATCAATTTGACCCGCAACATATGAAACTAATTCAGAGTCATTAGCCTACAAATAACATAACAAATCAAATAACATTTTCAAAACTACATCAATTGAAAATAGTGAATGAGAGTTATTTCTAGAACTCACCTCATCCATCTTTCCAAGATTTAAGCCCTCAAAATTCTTCAACGACAAAAATAGTGGTAAAGTGGACTGTCAATAACTATCTGACAGATGAATTAATGTTTAAATGGATTCTTTTCAACTTCCAATTTCATGGCCCAAAGTGCATGCAAAGTAATGAGATTGATTTTATTAGTAGTTTAGATATAGAGATATTAATATAGTAACTCAACCATCACCAATTTTTTTTAGAATTAAAATAACAACCAATGACTCAATTCAATCCACATAAATGTGACAATTGCATATAATTTAATAATGTTATTAACTACAAAAAGATATGATAGATATTAGTTATTTTGTTAAGGTTATTTTTGTCAAACAAAAATTTTTTACGTTTGTTGACATTTTAAAATAATATAGATATAGATATAGATTTAAAGTAGTATAGATACACATACAAACTATGGAGTAACAGGTGCCGCTCAACAGCATTAAAAAAATAAAAAGCTTAGATTTTAGGCCCTAAATTTTTAAAATGCTTCATAATTTTAAGTACATTACTAACCCAGAAAAAATTTAAATTTATTAAATTTTAAACCTTAAAAAAAGGCCCCAAAATGTTAAATACAATCAAAAATTTTATTGTAATAATTTGGATCTATGATTCAATCCATAAAAACTTAAAAATCATAAGTTAAAAAAATAAAAAATACTCAATATACACATACTAGTTATTTCCCGTGCCTGAAGGTACAGAGTAATAAAAAAAATTAATAGTAAACATATTTGCATTTACATTCAAAATTAAATTACAAAGATAGAGGAAGGAGAAAAGAATTTAAGCACCAGTTATAGTGGGGGCAAGCGATGGTAATGGTGGTGTGTGGCAGTGGTGGTGATAGAAGACAGTGATGGCTGTGATGGGTGATGACGGTTAGTTATGAGGATAGCAACCTTGGATGACAATGATGATGGTGCTAGTGGGATGGGAGGGGTGGCGGTGGTGGCAGTGGTGATGGCATTGGTGATAGTGGGGATGGCGGTGGTGGGGTGGCAGGAGTGGTGGTGGTGGTGGGCCGATGAGGGTGGTGGTGGTTGTAGGGTGACGACAATGGTTAGGCGATAAGGGTGGAGGGTGGTGGTGGTTATTGTGACAGAGGTGGTGGTGTGGTTACGACGACGGTAGTGGTAGTGGTGGTGGTGGGGAAGAGGTGGTGGTGGTTGTGGTAATGGTGGTGGTGGACTGGCGGTGGCAATGGTGGTGGGATGGTGGTTGGTCGGTTCCAAACACTATTTTTTTTTAAAAAAAGTGCTTATAAGAAGTTATAAGTTTTATAAGTACTTTTAAAAAGTCAACACCAATACACTCTTAAGGGCCTTTTTTCTTATTAAATTTGGGTTGTTAATATTAGCCATTAAATTAATTTTAAGATAAAATTTAAAGAAATATGAACCACAAAAAATAAAAATTATTTTTTTTATCTTTTGAGAATTGAATTATATTGTATTTTATTATATAGATATCCAAACTAGTGACGAGTAAGGAGAGCTCATCCCGGCTTCCTCCTTTGCTTGTGTTTAGTCCCACTGTTCCTTTCCTTTTTCTGCTTCTTTTGTTTTTGTCTTTGAATATGCTTATTATACTTCTATGTTACTATACTTCGGATTTAGGATTTTAGCAAGTTCGTGTGAAAAAAAATTAATCTTCACTCATATCTAATTCGTTTATTAATTGTGTAGTGTTGTGTCGGATCTACTCGTTTATGAAATGAGTGTCTTAAAAAAAATCTAAACTCTCTAATTTTATATTGTGTTAATGAATCGTGTCATATTTTAACAATTCATGTGTGGGTCTTGGGAGAGAGCTTACTGCATCAAGTTGCTTTGGATACGGTGTTAAAAGTCCCAAATTTACCAAAGCTAAAAAAGCACACTTCCCCCTTTCTAATAATACGGATTTCGTTTTGGTTCCCCGTTATAAAATATTGGAGTTCCAAATAGTTAAAAGCCAAAAACTTTGATAGTGGCAAATTTTCGAAGGCAACCTCATTGATAGCTACACTGGGATAGAGTGCATATCTGCCAACCAGTTAAAACAGTTGCAAGACCTTTAAGAGAGCCACCAAAGACATTAATAAATCAAATTCCTGCAGGAAACTGATGCAGCAGATTTTTTTGAATGCAACTCTCTCTCTCTCTCTCTCTCTCCCTCTCTATTGCTTATTGTGTCTGTGTGCTTTTCTAGACCTCTTTCTTTTCCCAACTATACATTGACTATGAAGTTTTCACACCCAGTGCAACGTCTGGCTTTCTTTTTTTTCTTGGTTGAGCGGATAAGGGTGTTCAGGTCGGTTTATGCGTATTTTAATTAATTTCTTACTCAGTTCATTTAAAGAGAAGTCAGCTACACCGAAATTGAAGTATTTATGAGGGATCAATCTCTCATGATCTGATATCAAGGAATTGTCAAAGTTCAAATTCAAAATATCTTAATTTTTTCATTTGATAGAAAAAGAAGTAATAACTTTGCAAATAGTTTTTAATCCGGGCCAACCCAAACCTCAATCCATCACATCCCATGTGCTAATGGAGACCAACCTCAAACAGAGTCATTAATATCTATATTGTTTTGTGATGTTCCTCCAGTGGCAGAGTCGCATTGTGATTGTGGGCCCCAAATTTGTGAAATTACACTTTAAGTCATTAACAAATACAGCTATTTAAGTTTTAGTCCTCTAAAAGTATTAACATATTCGATTTGACCCCATTATACAATACCACCCTTGCATTGCCCACTCAAAGGTCTGATTCGTTTCCCAACTGCATGCAATCAATCACCCTTCACACATTCACATGAGAGTATATGAAGAAAAACGTTATTTGAACTTAATCAATGATACTCAATAGTTTAAAAGTGGGNATATCTGCCAACCAGTTAAAGCAGTTGCAAGACCTTTAAGAGAGCCACCAAAGACATTAATAAATCAAATTCCTGCAGGAAACTGATGCAGCAGATTTTTTTGAATGCAACTCTCTCTCTCTCTCTCTCTCTCCCTCTCTATTGCTTATTGTGTCTGTGTGCTTTTCTAGACCTCTTTCTTTTCCCAACTATACATTGACTATGAAGTTTTCACACCCAGTGCAACGTCTGGCTTTCTTTTTTTTCTTGGTTGAGCGGATAAGGGTGTTCAGGTCGGTTTATGCGTATTTTAATTAATTTCTTACTCAGTTCATTTAAAAAGAAGTCAGCTACGCCGAAATTGAAGTATTTATGAGGGATTAATCTCTCATGACCTGATATCAAGGAATTGTCAAAGTTCAAATTCAAAATATCTTAATTTTTTCATTTGATAGAAAAAGAAGTAATAACTTTGCAAATAGTTTTTAATCCGGGCCAACCCAAACCTCAATCCATCACATCCCATGTGCTAATGGAGACCAACCTCAAACAGAGTCATTAATATCTATATTATTTTGTGATGTTCCTCCAGTGGCAGAGTCGCATTGTGATTGTGGGCCCCAAATTTGTGAAATTACACTTTCAGTCATTAACAAATACAGCTATTTAAGTTTTAGTCCTCTAAAAGTATTAACATATTCGATTTGACCCCATTATACAATACCACCCTTGCATTGCCCACTCCAAGGTCTGATTCGTTTCCCAACTGCATGCAATCAATCACCCTTCACACATTCACATGAGAGTATATGAAGAAAAACGTTATTTGAACTTAATTTGAAAACCTAATCAATGATACTCATTAGTTTAAAAGTGGACTACAAAACAATTTTAGAAGGGAATATGTTATTTGTACTTAATTTGAATATTTTTACGACAGTTCAGTTCAATTACAAGTGACATTTATCTGACGTTGGAAGTTATAAATAATTCAATAACCGCAATGAATTCGGTCCGATAACATTGCTCTGAAAGATAGAAACATGTAGATATGAAGGAGAAGTAACTCAAACCAGCAGATCAATTTAAATGCAATAAATTTCATTACATAATATAACCAACTACAACAGTGCTTCTCTCTCTCACACACACACACAACAGGGTCTCTTTTGATGAAAACAGGCCATTTTTAAAATATGCCCCTCTCATTTGAAGCATGATCAACTGCACACTATTGTATCAGTTAACCACCACGTTGAAAATAGAGGATAAGTTATAACTCATTTAAAAGTCGAGGCACGACTCAAAAAATAGAGATTGGTCCTAAAGCCTTATGATCGATTCCAAACATCTCCATTTTGTCGTAATCGCAGCAGATTGCGTTGTAACCTCACTCTTATATTGTAATGACTCTAGATACCATATCAAGAAGTGATTTTTCAATATCGTAAATTTACTCATTTACATTATACTTTTAACTTAGCATTCTATAGTTTTGTATGATGGCCGGGTAAAACTGCCAATATGCAGCAGAGAAAGTGGTTCCTAGCGGAACTGCCATCCAGAAAAGGTCTGGCCAAAGGACCAGCTAGCTGGGGCAACATTATAAGAGACCACACTACGGCCATCACTGGTGGTGACTTTGAAAGAGAGGCCTTGTCCATTGAGGTAAGAATTGCTCTGCCAATTTTGCCCCCAGTTTCTTGACATTGGTTGCCATCTAGTTCTGGAACCCTTGATGTATACAGAGTGTACATCACCAGCACCCCCAACGTTGGTGACGAGGACAAGGTTGAAGTAGGAGTGACCATTGATGGTGAACCTAATGCCTCCCCTTTTCCTGCAGGGTACCCTGTGAAGACACATGAAAGGAAAATGACCTTGATTAGCACCCCATGGATTCCAACCAAAATAACTTGCAAAGAATTAGGATTGGACAATTGATTCTGGTCATGGTCATATTTGAGACGGGTCTTGGTGCAATGGTAAGGTTCTATTGTGACCTAGAAATCACGAGTTTGAATCGTAGAAACAATCTTTCTATTTACAAAGATAAGATTACGTACATTTAATTCTCTCTAATCCCGCAATGGATACGGCTTTTTTAATTGATTCTAGTCCAAGTCATATCGATCATCAAAATTGTTCTAATATTTTATTCTACTTCAGCTATACCGCTTTAGGATAAAGGTTTGTAACAATCCCATGTTAAAATCAAGATTTGTACTTATCCCGTGTTTGGATAGGAGATTAATTCATCTATTCATGATTTTTTGGCATGCTATTAGTGGGGCTGTTAATCAAACTGACCTACTCGAACTTGACTTGAGTTCGGCTTGGGTTCGGCTCGTTCATGCTCGATTCATTTTTTAAACGAGCCTGAACTTAAACAAATTTTTAGGTTTGTTTAGAAAACAAATCATACAAACTCGGTTCAAACTCAACAAGCTCGACTCATTTATGTGCAAATACTCAGGCTCGACTTGAGTTCGGCTCGTTCAGGTTCGGTTCGTTTCCTAAACGAGTTGAACTTGAACAATTTTTAAAGCTCGATTAAGAAACAAGCTTTGGGCTCATTCGACTAAGAGCCCTAGCTATTAGGGGTACTTTGGTCTTTTTATTTTTATTTTTGGTATCAGTGAGATCCCGTTTAATACCATATATTTTGTAGTCTCATAATACCTTTGAAACCAAAAAAACTTTCTCGCTATCATGTACCAGGTAATGAAGAAGTTCAACAACTACAGTTGTTATAATGCTATGAGTAATTTTATTTTGACCTAAAAATCTGACATAATGATGTAGCTTCAGTGAAACCATTGAATCAACAACAAGTTCCAATGTTTGATAGATTCTAGTCAATTACTTTTAGTTTGTACCAATTATGTGATGTTAGATGACATTGTAACATTGGATAGATATTATCTAACCTTTTATAAGTGAAGACTGGACTAATTTCATCTAATCCTGTCCCTAATACCCAAACGGGCCAAACCAAACAAAACATAAATGAAAATTATAAAGATAGAAGAGAACTAAATTGTTCAACTACCTTCTGTAAGCAACAGGGACTATGCCAGCTCTGTACTGGGCAATGTGTAGGAAAACGGGCTGAGAGAGATCAAAGTGGTGGTTGGGAGGGTCACACCACCCTCCTGGTGGGCAGAAGTTGGTGGCAGTGACCACAATGGAACCAGGAAGGCACCATTGTGGATCATTCACACACCTAATCTGAAAGCATGCTCCACAGCTCAGGCCATTGTTGAATAGTGCTGTGCTCAATGCTGCTGTGTTAGTACCATAGCCTTGGCTGTAAAGGTTCCCATATCCACAAGCCCCTCCTACACAAAAACTAAACCATGAAAAACGTGCCAACTACATAATATATACATGTTGAGAGAGAGAGAGAGAGTTTTGCAGTAAGGTTTGTGACATACCCATTGTACCAGAAGCATCACCTCCACCATAGAAGGTGGCATGGGCATTAATCCAACCCCCAGAGTAATACCCATTGACACAGGAAACTATGGAGAGAAGAGTGACAAATGAAATCCCAATAAAACACATTTTTCCTGCACACAGAAAATGTGTTATTTTAGCATTCTTGATATTGAATAAACCTAAGATCACTTGAACCTTTTTCAAATGCCAAAGAGTAAAAGTGAGGAAAAGAAGGGTTACAAAGAAGATGATCTGAGCTCTGGAAGGAGCGTGTGAGGAAACGAAGAGAGGTTTTGAGGGAATAAATAGAGGGTTGAAAAGAGGGGTTTGGGGGGGGGGGGGGGG